CGTTCGGTGCGGCGCTTTTCCGGATGCTGTATTATGACGGCGAGAAGCGACAAGGCGCCTGCATAAAATCCTCATTTGTGACGGGCATCTAAGCGCGATATCTTCGAACAAACTATCAAATTGATTTTTCTTTTTCTTCCTTTTTTCTTTGTCCCTATTGGTCATTATTTAGTCAGCACAGATCGCCTTCAGGGACGCGCAGCAGCGACTCTTCACAGATTGTAGATGGCACAGCCATGTTCTCAGCCTGTCAATCAGCTCCGCGCAATCTGACCCTACGTCCGTGCATTCACCGACCTCTGTTCCTGGAAGTATATAGGCATGTTAATATATGAAACATGACTTCGATTAAATATACATGTTCGATTAGCGTAGTTAACACAGAACACGTATCAGCCTAGAAAAAGAATAAAGTCAACGTAACAACATATAAGATTATTAGTAATCCCACCCATGGACATTACAATACACTCTTCATTGTCTTTACGCGTCTTCACAAATATTACATATATAAAAATATTATATACGTATTCACATATAGATGTACACACATATTTCACTGTCCCACTAGTGAATTTGTTGAAGAGAAATGTAAAGAGCGACGGGATGATTCCACGTATCTAATGCTTATATGCATTTTTGTCGAAGAAACAACGAGAGGTACAAGTAACGTCGCTTCTATCAGATCAACGTTGAAATCTCCATTTCTTAAAAAAAAATTGATTAGATAGAAGAGAGATGTATATATTTACAAAAAGATACACAAAATATATACAAAAGAGATAAACTGTTAAAATTCTGGATTATTTTAACTAATATTATTACATTTCGATGAACTTTGAGAACCAGTGTTAACGAAAAGGAAAAGTGAAAGAGAATGATTGATATTAAAGATCTTTATCAATTGATGTATGAAACGGAAACTCAGTTTACAACACTTGTCATATTCCATTAGTGACACAGAAGAAACATAGTGGAATATATTATACAGAATGATGAAATGGCCTTCAAATATCAGAAAATCAATAGAACGACGATAGAGACTTATCGGAACCTATCGGAACAATTGTCTCTTAAAAAGTTCCTCATAGACAGACTTCACCATCGGAGAAACAGGAATAAAAGAGATACGGTGAGAAGACTGTCGGACTGTCGAGAATCTGTCACGTTAACGACAAGAGACGATCATGCAAAATTAAAAACTCGTTCCGAGTCGGAGGAGAAGATAAAAAAAAAGAGAGAAGAATAATAAGATAGTACAAGGTGGTACATAACAAGATCAGGATTCTCTTACCGCGGCCGTCATTTCGAAGGCCGTTCTGATATCCTTTGGTCGTCGTGGAAAGCGATATCGCGTTGATCGTGCTCTTATACTTGAACGGACTAAATTTCGGACCGTAAGTGACCTTCGGAGTGGTACTGACGGTATAATACGAATTGAAGAAATTGATGTTTCTCTTGGTGGTGGTGGTACTGACGCCGCCACCAGTGCCACTATTATTACTGTTATCATCATTGTACTTAGTCTTATAACGATCGGTATATAAATTATTGGCAGTTGTCCACGTGAATTTTGTGGACACTGTGGACGGTACGAACGGTTTTGTAACGCGTTTGTAAGGATTGATCGATGTCGTTATCGTCGTCGTGGTCGTCGTCGGTGTTGACGCGGTTACACTCGATAATGGCATACTCTGTGTCGTTGATTCCCATGGATACCTGTGTGGCATATTATCATCAGCTACGTTAATAAAATAGAGCTATATAAAACTGCGGCGCGCATTACAAGACAGAGAAAATCGCTCGAGTTTTCGGATCATTACCTGTAGTCTGTGTTGTTATAATGAGCGAATATCGGCCGGGTATGTAATGCGGAATTGAATATGCTGTCTCGGCGCACATACGTCGGAATGTTTTGCGTATAATCCGGTATTATGTTTTCGTGCTCCGCCACGCACTTCCCGTTCAGGCAATACTGAAAAATCAACGTCAACGATCAAACAACTGTGCAAAGACATGAGAAGATATATGCCGAATATTGTTATCTCTTTCCCTTGGCACTGTTGTACTATAAAATTACATAATGTAATGTCACGTATGTCATTGGATTATGTATAACGTCAAAATTTATGATCACTTCTGATGTAATTGCGTGTTATAATTGCGACGGATGCGTCGCGAAAGCTATATCGTAGCGTCATGCAAGTTGCATCATGTATACATAAATGGAAATATCACAAAGAGAAGCATTTAATTTTTTTATTTAATTTTATTCATTTAATTTAATTTAATTTATTTCAGCTTTTAATTTAAATTTTTTTAGTAAACAGAAACAACGGATGGATTTTTTTCTCTCATTTTACCTGACCATCTCCACATGGCGAACCTTCCGCTGCTGGCCGATATGCGACGCAATATCCGGATCCAGCGTCGAAACAGAACAGCTGAGCGCAAACTCGATCGTCTTTCTAAAATCACATAGAAATACGAAATGCCAATAAGTAAATAAAAATATGTAAGTAAAATAGCATATAGTAAGTGCAAGTATGAGAATAATATAAATGTGATAAATGTAATAATTTGCATAGAGGTAAATATATAAAGAGTCGATTCTATTACATTTAATAGCCTAAGGTTCTTCATTAAATAAAGATTAGATAAGAAAAGATTATTTTAAAAACTACTGGAATTAATTCAACCAATTTTTTTTACAAAGATTATAATACATACGAAACAAGCGCTTGTTCCGCGATCTTTCCGACATTGTGCATCTAAGGATAGAAGTTTTCCCGGAAGCACTCTGGGCAATGCCTCGTCTTCATGAGGCGCATTGTACAAGCAAGTCGCTGTATCACCACTGAAAATTAAAAAAAAAAAAGATTACATAGAAAATTACAAGAGTTTTAAGTAAACTAAAGCATTTCGCGCTTGTCTAAAAACTATTTATGAAATAATATTGTAAAAATAAAAGTATAAAGAAGATATTCCATTTTTTCAAATAAAAATTTGCATTTTAAAGTTACTGTCACGCGCAGATTACCTACTTTAAAAAGTGATGGAAGGAGGACACGCTGCAGTGGGACCATTTGAAACCCTTCTCGGTGTGCCTAAGATCGCTCATGATATACCCATCTTCCCAACGACACTTTTCGGCGCCTGGTCCACCCAAGTAACTAGGCGGAGGTGAACCATCATGGACAGCACCCAATCTAAAGAGATCGCACGAGAGATATAGACGTTTCATTTTTAATGGTATCGTAATAACAGACGAAAACGAAAAAAAAAGTTTGCGAGAAAGTAATTTGCGAATGCTTACAAGTGGCCGACTTCGTGTGCGGCGACGATTATACCGCTGAATCCGCCGGTATCCTCGATGATGGCGACCGAATTCACCTTCTCGAGGCGCTTATTCACGACGCACGCCCCGCCGACGTACGCGAATCCTGTGCAGAGAAGATTCTTTAGCATTGCGTTCTCCAACATGAGCAAAACGAACGCGGTAGCACTACTTTGCTACTACCAAGATCGTATCGATATTAACGCAAGCTATCACGTGTTCAATTAGCGACGTGTACTTTTGTACAGCGCATCCTCACCGTAAATTCGTATATAAGCATTATTCTATTTTATAAGCTTCATGAAGGTGGATCTTGACAATCTTGGTTCTGAGAACGTTAAAACTCACGAACGTTGAAATTATAATCATTATAATTATGACAATTTTTCGCGTGTTCCTCGAGCTTGATAGAGCTTTCGCGTCCGATGTTTGTGTTTACGGTGAAGAAGCGCGAGTTGTTAATATACCATAGACATTACTAGTATTTCGAGCTTTCTAGTTACGAGAATTAATGACATTAATCCGGTTGTTGATAAATGTTAAAATGAGTTGTCATATTGATATGTGTATATGCGGCATGCATCTTGCGTTAATTCGTCGCCCAGTGGTTAACGAGAGAGAGTTAGCCGAAGGTATCGCATTTACGTTCGAGATGTTTATGTGGCGAATCAACCGATCGACAGATCGGGACGTCATCGCTCCCTTTTCCGTTTTCCCGATTCAATATCGATCGATTACATGAGCGCGGGAAATAGGCGGCATCTCTCGACGCATTTAGCGTTGCTGTAACTTCAGAGACTTACCAAAGACCAACGATCCGTGACAGTGTAATGCAGCCAAAAAGGTATACAAGAGTCGTAAATTATTATTCAGAAGAAACAAGAGCATAGGCGATGTAAAAAGAAAAAAAGGAGAATAAAGACGGGAAAAAGAATTGAATTTGAAGGTGATCGCTTCTTCCACGTTTTTGGCACGGAGCGAGATACGCGTAGGATTGAAATCGCGAAATCCTACTCGGTGTATAAAAGAAAACTGTGAAACAATAGTATGTATGTACATAAAATGCGGAAACAGTAATAGTCGCGTAGATACAGTGGCGGATTACAATGAAATTGCCGTTAAAGTTTAATCGATTAATTTTTTGTATTTACGCTTCGTTTTTGTCGGCAGTATCGAGTGGCGATACGCCTAAATCATCAAAAATTCTCTCGATCCGCCACTGTATAGATACCGAGATACTCGGCATATAAATATGCAATAAATATAAACACATATAGAAGTAGGTTTAAGCAACTGTGCAAGGGAACAGCAAAGTTCGAAAGAGGCAATTGCTTGACGTATTCTCGTTGCTGAATCGCAATTGCAATTGCTGAACGCCGAGAATCATTATGTAAAAAAGAAAGAGCATGAGGCATTAGAAATAAGAGATATGTATAATATTTAGGTAACATAGGGGAGCTCGATTCGAGTAACTTCTATGATTGTTCGTTAAGTCTTGAAAGAAAAATTGGAAATATGTACAGTATGTACTATGCAGATAGAAGTCTGACGTTTCTACTTTTAAACATTTCACAAAATGTACTAGATCTTCTTCAATTAATTTATTTAATTTATATGACTTAATTGGCAATCTCGAGACTGGAGATTGAAACTTTGTAAGGTAGTGCATATGTGCAAAACTTAAAGTTGAGGAAGCTAAAAAAAACAACAGTTTCCCCTTTTTTGATCCGAAAAAAACGTACCTGCGGTTCCTCTATTGCACACATCATTCGCGTATTGCCTCCTGCACATATCTAATCTGCAATGCAATAACAAAAATATTCTTTATCATGTAGATTTCGTATTCGGCGACATTGCTGACCTGGTCACGGGACAGACAATAATCAGGCGGCGGAATTTAAACACACCTCGTATTAATCCTTTTGCGATACTGTACAAGAGAACAATAAAAATAGATAAAAATAGCCGCGTGGAATCGTCGCTCAAACGAGTTTGAAATAATACGATTTGAGCTATAGTTCGTTGGATTTTTGAAACGAGTTGGAACATAAATGATAGTCATCCTCTCGAAAAACTGACTGCCATGTAGATATAAAGGTGTGACACTACCCTGCGTTATGAGAGAAAGTTCCGTGATGTCCTTGCGATAAATAGTAATATCAGTAATAATGTGGATTTTGCGTGTGGTCGAAAGCAAACACCCGTGAAGCGAAATCATCGCGAATATCAGAAAAAAAAACCAGGATTTGTAACCGGTACAATTTTGGCGAAACCAAATTTCGATGTATCTTATAGACATGAAAATGATCTCTGTATAGCACTGGAAATCACACGTGCCGATATTGTGTCGGTTTCAATCCTTGTTGGAAATTCACTGCGGAACAAATATAAAAAAAAACTCGCTTCTTCTCGACAACCTCGAAGAAACATGTGTTGCGAAAGCGCGATGTGTAAATTAAAAAAAAATATAATATATATATATATATATATATAATATTTTATTATATATATATAAAGAAATAAATAAAAAGCCAACAAAAAACGCGTCTCGTGCGTTAATAAAGTCGTCGATTAAATAATGATCTTGATCGGGACCGATTAATCAATCTTTTTCGATTACAAATTGACATTTCGATTAAGCGCAATAAATATAAATAAAAAAACGGATATAAGAAAAAGAACGTCGCATTCGATTTATTATAATTTCACGCACACTCTTTCGTAATTGAATTCACAATAAACTTCCGACGAAATGTAGCAGGTAATAATGCAAAAAGGACTGAAATACTATCCTTGTATCGATGCACGAGCGCAATAAAGTTCGTACATATTATATAATGTATAATAAAATTTAATGGGATAATTTTTATTTTAAAAAACTGTAACTTTCGGTTAGAATGGACGGTGATTTTCTTTATCGTCTACGCATACTTACCTCTACACTTTGGTTGCAATAATCATGCCTAGAGGTATTGCAAAATATTTCTTCGAAACTTAAGAAAGAAACGCGTATCCATCAAAAAGAAAAAAAAATATTTATATTAAAGCCAACTCAATTATGTAACTCACGTGTACAAGTGATTCTGCGGATCGTCGTATAGGCACATTTTTAAGGAGTTACAGGAAACTCGCGTCGACTTTTTTACGACTTTTCGATGCAAATGTCAAACGGGTCCGTCCGGAGATACGCGATGTTTTACATACGTATCCAGTGATACGTGTCGTGTTTGCGGATCTATGCGTTTCCGTGCGTGATGTAATTGGGACGATCGTCCGGTGTTACGGCACCGAGACAACTCCGCGGTCGCGTATTATGCGTTATTAATTAAATTAAGATTAGTGGTACCATACCCACTCCTCATTCGCCTCCGTCTTGTTCGTGTGTGCGTAAGAAGCTCTGGTGGAATTGCAAGTGCATTGTCTCGCAGACACTGATTACAAGTTCCCTAATTTCATTCGTTGCATTACGGGATCACGCGAGGAAGATATTTCTGTCTGAAGTCATTATATACCAGCGAGCGACGAGTTTTCTTGCATTACCACGTTGCCCGTCTAATTAACAGTAGTGTGTTTCATTCTGACCCTCATACTTCACAGCAGAAGAATATCTTCCTCCGAATATCCCACAAGAGATCCCCTAACAACACTACTGTTAGACTATATACCATTACTGCGTGTACCGTCAATAATACCGTCAACTATATACAAGCTTTAGCAAAAATACGCTGTATAGAAAATACGTTACGAAAATTAAAAAAAAAAAAGAGAAGAGTAAAGCGTGATCGCTATGTAATAAACCATACCGGCAGTTCCCTTAGTGCAGCGGCCGCCTTTCCTACGACGGCACATATCATACCTGTTTTGCGGAATAAAAATCGAGAGTATGAAATCATCAGAGAAAATAGAATGTAAGAATTATAATAAATATTATTGATTGTAACGCAAAAAGAGAAGCGGAGGATATATTGAAATTAATTCTTGAATATTTCTAAGGAATCGTTCATTCACGATGTGTGTCTGCTTCTCTCGTTTCCATGTTTCGTGGAGTTAAATGAATGCTCGTTGGATTGATAAAATAAAAGAGAAGTATAGCTTATCGTCTTTCTGCGGGCACTCTTTCGTGACTCGCCGTTCGAGTTACAGTAGTGCACGTAAGCCGCCTTTATGGATCGGGCACTCTTACTTTGTAACGGCGACGGCGATGTCGTATACAGGAAGTCTCCTCTCCCGGAAAAGGTATTTGCCCATGTCAGTCAGAGCGGCTGCCGAGTCGATTGCGTCTCTTCCCACGCGATTCCTCTCTAAGTATGGTGTCGCGTCTCGTCCCTGGACATAACGTAAATTTGTTTATTTATATACGGGATGTACTTCTCGCTATTGCATCCTTCATCTCGACGATATCTCTCGTTATTCAATCATTTTCCTCTTATTCAACAATTCAATAAAATTCAATAAGAGATTCTTTTTTTTTTAAAAAACAAGGTTTATTGAAAAAAGATTGCGACTGTGTAGATTTTAACTAACCGAGAGTCGAATATTTGAATGTTGTTGTACTGTGTCTCTTACCCGTGAGATAATTATTCCCGCTATACTGATACGTATTTTTGGCCCCTTCAGTAACTTATACCTCAGATCAACTCCGTTCCAAAAGGAAACAAAGTATCTCTTTATCTGTACGTTATCGCCGCCGTGCAATCTGAAAAATGAGAAAATCGCGTTCGGGCCGCGAACGCGTTAAAGCGAGATTATAAATGTCAGATTCGCGTGAATGTTCGCGTGAGAGAAAATAACAGTTATAATCGTAAATACTCGTTTCTCAATGATGATATTAGCCGACTCTCACCTGTACCCATCGTAATCCACTATGCAAAGGATTTCCGGGTAAATGACGTACGGTGCTTCGCGCTTCGATCTGCTATTGATCGAACGCTTAATCCTATATCTCTTGGCTAAGTGGTCGGGTTCCATGAGCGCTGAAAGCATTCGCAGTTGTATTTATAATCTCATGATTTTTAAAATCGAGAAGCGAAAGTTCAGACATTATATATTGCACTCACAAAAGTCGCTGTACTCATCGCCGGCAGGTCGATCCACCTTTTTGAAAACGATGTGATGACTTGTGCGTTTCAAGTCTTCTGTGCTAGTTACGTTAGGCAGTAGTTTGGATTCACAAAGAATTGGAGCTCGGCTCACTACTTCTTGTAGAACCCGTTCTGGCAGTGGCCGAATAACTAATTCTGAACCGATGGTTCCATCCTAAGCGAAACAATGTATACTTACTACTTTAATAGAATAATAATTAGTTCGACATTCAATTATTCTAAATTCTAAATTCTCTCTGTTAATATCTCGTTTTATTTATTTCTTTTTTTTTAAGATTGTAACTTTTAAAGACTCCCATTTTTAGAAGAACGGCTTTAGAGAGTGATTCACAGTTAAATTGAGGAATTACGTTCAAGTAGCACGTATTGCAGTATAAATTTCCTCATAATTAATAACTGTGACCACGATAATAGTCTCTTTGAGCAACTGCGACGATTAACAGGTAAATACATATAATTTTGTTGCCTGTGTACACAAACTTTGCCTAGAGAAACAAAGGATAATAGATAAAGAAAACAAGAATATAAACTGAAGAAACAATGTCATTATATCATAAATAAAAATAGGAAAAGGGAAAAGAGAGGGAGAAAAGGGAGGAAAGGGTATGACTAATAATCTCGCAATAAATATCCCTTTGCGCACATCGAGAGGTAGCCGTATAATTCTCATGGCTTGTCCCTGCTCGTGTCTCTCTCTCTCTCTCTCTCTCTCTCTCTCTCTCTCTCTCTCCGAATTGTGCAAGATTCGTACAATTTGCACAAGTATAAATGCACGCGCTGTATGAATCACGGTGTGTTAGTTGAGGGGCGAATGTTAAATCGAGCGTTTTCCACCGCCGGGCAGCGAGCGTATTTTGCAGCGAGTCGAATTACTCGCGTGCACGGTATTCCCGATCCGGACACGATCGTGCCGCTCGTTCTGCAGTTCGAGAGGTGCACTGGTCAGATCTTGAGGGAGGGGAGGAGTGAAAGCGAAAGGTCAGGACAGCAAGGGGTCACTTAGAACAACGACTTTACGGCGCGTTACGTAATGCCAGACGGCATTATGTGTACGTGCCCGCGCTCGGATGACATTATGCTTTTTCATCTTTATTAAAATTTCATTGGAACTCTCCCAGGAGTACGAGTTGCCAAGTCAAAACTGCGCGAGATTGAGCCTGCGGTGGCTCCCCCCCCCCCACCCACCCACCCCTCCCCGTTAAATCCTCGCGCGGGCAAAAGTTTTACACACCGAACGATTAACTTTCACGAGTCTTGTAATTATAGGCGCAACGCGCCTAATTGTAATATATTCGCGTTCTCGCGCTCTGCGCGCCAGTTACATTACTCATATTTGCATCTCGACTGAGATGAATGATCCCGCGCGTAATAGCGCAATTTAAATCATCTCGACCTTTTTTGGATGAAATACTGCGGATACATTCGATGCGCATAGCGCGATCTCTTGCGAAATTCAATTACGTTTTCGTTGCAGAATTGAATTTATCACCCCCGGTATTAACTGCAATTACGAATAATTAAATCGGCGGGATAATAAGTGGGATAATAAGTGGGTACTATCGATTAGCGAGCAATCAACTTGTCTCAGTTTGTAAATGTATGAAAGAAAATTTATATATCGTATCGGTCCTTTCGTAAAAGAACTTTCGAAGTTTCCGATTACAGAGTTTTTCGTAAGAACTTTTCGATTAAGTAAACGTGTACGTGATAATAATTGTGATATCCGCTGTCACAATCGGTAAATCTTGAAATAAATTTCGCGAATTATGAAAATTATATGTGATAAATGCAAATACAGGGAGGCTACATCTTGTGTAGCCGTTTCCTTCCAGAGGAGCAATTAAGAGCTTTGTAAGAGAAACCAAGAAGTTACGCTTGTTTGAACGCGAAATTATTGGGAACACAACGTCCTTCTTTCTCTCTCGAAATTGCAAACCGCGGCGAAAGGTAGGCCCGATGCGCAGAAGTTTATTGGCATCAATCTCGTGGACACAATACCCTTCACGCTTCATTCCGACTCTAGGCGAGGAAAACGTTGATTGCGAGTTGTAAGATGGAAATGTCAAAACCGCGATATCGCCGATATTTAGATAACTTTAATGCCGCAGCTGTATGTATAACGGCGATACATTATCTTATCTAATTATTTACAATAAATGTCGAAAAAAATTAAGACTTTATTAAAATTTTTCCAAAATTAGATAAAAAATAAAATTATTAAGCTTAATTCGAAAAAAAGTATCCTTTTCTTTCTCGATTGTCTTTAACAAAAAGATAATTATGAGGATCTTGATGGATTCTCTGTCAAAAATTTTTCTTTCAGATTTAAACTCGCTAGTCTTAATCATCTGCTAGTTTACAACTATTTTATGAGAGGAAATGAAACTCGGTAGGTGTCCATAAAATATAGAGGTTACAACTCACGACGAAATGCTGACCATAATATTTAATGAAACGGCATGTCAGAAATTCCGCATATGAATTTTCGGCGATCGTCTGAATTAGCCGCGAAGAGATAAACTCGCTCCAACATTTTAATTATTTATAATAAATCTCCCTTGGTGAGACTCAGTATATGTATACGCGACAACCGTTTTTCGATTTATCGTAAATCACTCTTGCAGCAAAAAGAATGTCACTTCCATTTAGTAGAATTTCGATATAAAAAAGAATATTCGATATATAAGTCAACAGCCATGCGGATGAATTATCGTTCGAATCGTTCGTCCAACGAATCTCTCTTATGCCCGATTCCACCAACGTTCAACTTACTCTTCATCTTTTTCTAGTTTTAAGAATTAGAAAAAGATGGAGAGCAAGTTAAACCGAGATTAAAGTAAATCTACGTTGGTGGAATCGGGCATTAATATAGCTTATATCCGGACTGTACGAAAATCGTTTTCAATAAGTGCTTTACGTTCGTCGTCGTAAAAATATTACGCCGTGCCGTACGACAAATTGCTATAATTATAATACAGGTCCTAAGCGAGTCGCGTCGGTTGACGAAAGACGACCCGCAATAATAGGGTAGTGACGAAAGGGACATTAAGAAAGAATAGCCGCTTACAACGCGCACTTTCCCATTCGTGTCTTGGTGTAGCAGAATGGAAGCCATGTTCTCCGTGTCTTGATAGATGTCACCGATATCCACGTCGACCTGGAACAATTAGAAATTCGTTAAAAACTGTGTGCGTGTGTGTGTGTGTGTGTGTGTGTGTGTGTGTGTGTGTGTGTGTGTGTGTGTCATTGGATAATTATAAAAAAATAACTATCTGATCGAATGATTAAATGAATTGCGAAAAGTTACACGTTACGTTTTCTTCAATTTTCAAAGATATTTTTCATGAAGAAAAAAATATAATCTTTTAATTATTTTCAGATATTGCAGCTTGGTAGCAAATATTGGAATAGGGGAAACCTGAGTCTTGAAAAAAATTACAAAATAATTAAATATGTCGAAAGGAAATCACTTACATCCTTTACCCTCTCATAGTGAAGGCCGTCCGGTTGCGACGTGTTCCTGGTGACGGTCCACATCGGCAGGCTGTTGGCCGTCAACAGTCCTTCCGTGGGCTTCAACGAAAGGCTGATGTCTTTGCCGAAGGCCTTCAGGTGAATCTGTGGTTTCGCGTCCACGCTCCTTTTGTGCACCGTGTGCAACACAGGCACGACTTCGTACGGTGGCACTACGGTTTGAGGGTGCAAAATGCGTTTATATCCGCCAGAAAAAAATGTTAAAAGAAGTCTCTGCCTTAATCTAATATCTTTTGGAATATACGCTTTATAAGTTACAACTAGCATTTTAGAATTAATGATCCTTTTCCAATTGATTTCCTCATGTCGAGTGTAGCTGTTGCTAAAAAATTCTCGTTTAATATCGAAAGTCTGAGGATAGGCAACGGAACCCTTTCTAAGGTTCACCGGAACGGTGATTCTCGAATGATGGAATCGAGATGAATATTCATTGAGAATGATCCATGACGGAGAGTTTAACGGTCGGTTATCTAGTGTGAAAAATATATTCTGTTTCCTCTGGTTTCTTTGCCAGGGACACGTCAAGAACAGGAAGAAGGAAGATAGAAATTCTAAAAGAGAATAAAGTGTAATTTAATTGTCATTAAATTTAGCAAGATTTTACTTTGACAGAACTCAGTTAATGCATTTAGTTTTTTTCAGTTTTATTAAACACACCGATAAATTAAAATAAATGTCCAATCCTGTCGCGGTCAACATTAGTCATATCAGTCGGTGACACGTTGCTTTCATCACCCTTTTTACAACGGAAGGAACGGGATATAAAAAAAAAAAAGCGGAAAGGATAACGCGCAAGTTACTTTTTTTGCTGTTATTACCGGACTCGTGTCCCGTGTAAAACACCGATAGCATCTCTTCCCTTGTCATGTGCTCGTGAATCTGAAACACAAATGAGTTTAGGTGAACGCGCGGGTGTCGTAATATTCTTACGTAATCGAGATCGCGACCGTCGCAATCTCCGGCGCGTTTTATCGATCGACTCATGAATAAATCCATGATGAGATATGCCGCGGGTCGATAAAAACGCTTACCAACGCTTATGACTTAGTTTCCTAAATGCAAAACGACATGTAACACAATGGTATAGAAACGGATTCGCAGCGCGCATCGATCGAAGTGATAATTGGAAAGAAATTTCTGCTCGTTGGTTTGACGTAAGTGACGTTTCCTGCTCGTGGTTACTCGAACGTCATAATTATTCGATACAGGGAAATAAACGTAAAGGAAGAATTTTTATGCGAGACTTTTTGTTTGCAAACGAACCTAGCTTCCGGGATTCGCAATTTGATCATTATTGACTGTTACGTCATTCCGTATGTTTTTTTTCATTGACGCGTCTCGACAGTTCCGTGACTTCAATTTCGTTTCTTGTTTTTTTTATGCCGATCAAAGCGATACTTTCTTGTACCAGTGTATTGTCTTCGTCCATATCGTGAGAATAGCGAAGCAAAATGGATACAGTAATCGGAAATGGTAACGCCCGCGGCAAAAAGACATCACGTTTCATGTCGCAAAAAGTTACGTCACTAACGGTAGAACTATCACGGCTAGGAATTTGTAGATTAATCCGCGACTGAAATTTTGCGTTTCACAATACAAGCAGCAAGAGCAATCAAGTAACAACGTATCTAGCGACTGTAATATCAATGAGAGGCTTTTATTAAATATAATAAATACGTTAAGAGAAGAAAAGAATATTGATATATTACTTATACTACAATTAAATAAATGCTCCCAAAATCATAAATTTAAACACATAAAAATTATCTCACCCTTTTTAAAAAAAAATTAACAATTACCTAGTGAAAATAAATTAGATAATTAGTTCGCGCACATGCAAATTTTTTTATTTGTAGCATTGACGTTTATGCGATTTGATAATTGCTGCGATTGGCTGCGATAGATTCGTTCAAGACGGCGATTTTTCAAGTGTTCTGAGAATCCGTGGCCCGGTTCGGTTTTATTGCTCGTGGTGACTCGTAATTAATGGGTATGCACGCGTATTCTGTTTTCCAATCGCGTTTCAAGGTCTGCCTCTATCATTTCACAGCAGCGTTTGTTTGCGCGCCGTGTCACAGAAATCGAGTTGCAGCTGGAAATCGATCGAAGCCCCTTGGGAGTTCTAAGGTCGATCACTTTCGCTCATTATTGCCGAGCCTCTGATCGAGAGTTCGATCGATTTGTGCTGTGAGCGATCGTCTCGCTCCCAGCAAAGCGTCGACAAGATATCCGCTTACCCAAATATTCGAAATTCTCGTTTAAACACGATTAGTTAATGGAGACTACAATTTCGTAGAACACTTGACTTTTTCTTCTGTTGAATTTCTTTCGTACTTAATCTTAACGCGAACTGGCCTTGTAAATTTTCAAAGAATATTATAGTAATAAAAATTCTTACACCATTTTTATGATTGGCAAAGCATCTCTGCTCAAACTCTGTTGCGTACAATTATTTTTTGCTAATTACTTTAACTTCTTCAATTTTTCTTGATCCAATATAAGAATTCTTTTAAACCCGCCTTGAGCTACATTTGCACAAATGACTATATCATACCGGACAGCGAATAATCGAGAATTTCTCACGACGGCTTCAGACCCGACAATGAATTTTGTAATACTCGTCAACCGTGACACCGAGTCGTGCGTTTTAATCGTAATGTATTTCACGCGTCTGTGAGCGTAACCACCGATCGATAGAAACGCCGTCTTTCTTTTTTTCTCTCCCGTGAAAAGTAGATTACTCTCTCGGCTTAGGAGCATTCCGGTTTCGCTTTCGGTCTCTCTCTCTCTCTCT